GTCGTCGCTGTGGAAGGGCCAGGCGGGGCGAGGCAGCTGCTGACCGGGCCGGGGCAGCTCGGCGAACCCGCCCTTCTCGACGGAGTTCTCGACGCCGTTGCGGACGTAGGCCTCGGCGTCGTCGGTGATGCCGCTGGCCGAGTCGCCGTTGAGTGCGGCGATGCCCGAGTGGAGCACGAGGCCGACCTCGTGGTAGAAGCGCGAGATGGTCGGGTCGGTGCGCCACTGCGACAGCGCCTCCTTGGCAAGGTTGCGGTAGAGAGGCGCCGAGTACGCCGAGCGCGCGATCTTGTTGACGTCGTTGGATGCCGCGTCCGGTGCGGCGAATCCGTCGGTAGAGCGGTCGAGGACCGTGATGGAGCGGTATCCCAGGCGGGCGAGCGTGAGGGCCGTCGAGGCGCCGTAGACGCCGGCACCGACGATGAGGAAGCTGGGCTGGGACTGTGGTTGGTGCGGCATGGTGCGGCGGGCTATCGTCGGTACGGCCGAGGGGTCGAGGAGGGGTGAAGGCGATGGTGGTAGTGGTGGTGGCGGATGAAGACGTGGGTCGACTCGAGTCATCTGAGCCTTGCCAGACGGACGACGGCGCGGGGCGTCTTGACCGGTCAATTTGGCAAGAAGACCCGTTCGCCCGTCTTTGTCTTCTTGGCTCTCGCTGGACCTCCCGATCGGCATCGTACCGCATCCCCTCCTTGCTTCGGAAACAGACCGAACACCGATGCTCGGCCGTCCCGAGCGAGACGGGCGGGGGTCTGAGGGGGGAAACCAGAAGGCAGAGGCGGCATCTCCGGGTCGAGCCACGCGATGCCGGCCAGCAAGAAAAAACCCAGCGGCGGGCTGTTCCGCGGCTGATTGGGCATTTTTCGGCCCGACAATTGACCGAGATGCCCTGCCTGCCCTGACTTCGGCAAAACGCCGACAGGCCTCCTCGCCCCGCCTGCATCCGACTCCCGACTCGACGAAGGGCGGGCTGGCGTCGCTCCGGGAAAAGACGCGATGGATGCGATCCATGAATGGCAAGGATGGCGGGCGAGCGAACGGATACAGTTACAGGGGCAGAGGCAGAGGTAGAGGCAAGAGGGACGGGAGCAGGGGGACATGCACCGATGCACGCCAAAACGATGCGGGCCCGGGCGACGACGACGACGTGCTCAGCCAAACGTCTGGCTGCTGCGGCCGACGCGCTTGACCTTGGAGAGACGCCACTCGTCCTGGTTCTTGGCGTACTTGTCTGCGGGCGGGGAAGGGGAAGGAAAGGGAAGCACGCGGGTCGAAGGGATGGGACGGGCGGCGGGGGGTCAGCAAGGGACGCCCGGGGACTGCGACGGGCGGGGGACGGATGTCCGGGCGACTTGCGACACTCACCAAACAGCGGGGCGATCTTCTCCTGGCGCTTCCTGCGCGAGATCTGCGAGGCGTCTGCGGGGCGGAAGAAGCGCGGTGCGACCTCGACGAGCCACTTTGGTTCGATGGCCGTGACCTCGCGCATGTACTCGCGCGTGGTGAGGACGACCTCGTGGTAGATGCAGTACTCGGGAGCGCGGTTAAAGAGGGAGCTGGACGGGTGGATGTAGACGGTGCCGCCGCCCTCTGCGAGGCACTTGTAGCCCTCCTGCGGGTCCTTTTTGGCGGCGTTGCGAAAGTAGCCCGAGCAGATGGCCTTGCGGACGCGGTTGTAGTTTTTGCCGCAGGTGATGATGTCGTGGTTGTAGCGGTCCATGATGCCGAGGAGCTGCTTGCGGACGTCCTGGGCGCGGCGGAGGGAGCGGCCCTGGACAAAGTTGTCCATGCACCAGGGCTGCGAAAACTTGCTGGCGGCCCAGCCGTTGTAGACGGTGAGGAGGGTGAGGTGGTCGCCCTCGGGCTGGAAGAACTTGGCCTTTTTGGCGTCGGCCTGCGCCTGCTTCTCCTTTGGGCGGTAAAAGATGTTCTGGACGCTGAGCATGGCGACGATGCTGAGGATCTCTTCGCTGCAGCCGAGGTCGACGCTGGCGATGAGCATCTTGGCCATCATGGGCTCCATGGGGAAGTCGGCCATCTTGCGGCCGAGGCGCGTCAGCAGGCCCTCGTCGTCGAGGGCCGACAGGGCGTAGAGCGACTCGAGCGCCGTCAGGAGCGTCTGGGCGGGCGGCGGGTCCATAAAGTCAAAGTTGAGCAGGTCGTTGACGCCCATGGCCTTGAGCGTGAGGATCGTCGAGGCGAGGTTCTGGCGCTGGATGTCGGGGATGGGGTTGGGCAGCATCTCGTTGCGGTAGGCCGCCTCGGTGTAGAGCCGGTAGCACTTGCCCGGGCCCGTGCGGCCGGCGCGGCCGGAGCGCTGGCGGGCCTGGGCCTGCGAGATGGGCGTCACGACGAGGCTGTCCATGCCGAGGCGCGGGTCGTAGGCGTTCTGCTTGACAAAGCCCGGGTCGATGACGTAGTAGATGCCGTCGATGGTGATGCTTGTCTCGGCGATGTTGGTGGCGAGGATGACCTTGCGCGAGCCGGGCGGCGTCGGGTCAAAGATGCGCGACTGCATCTCGGACGGCAGCGCCGAGTAGACGGGCAGGATGATGAGCTCGGGCACGCTGGGGCCCAGCGCGCGCATCCGCTCAAAGAGGATCTCGCAGCTCGTGTCGATCTCCTCCTGGCCCGTGAGGAAGACGAGGATGTCGCCCGGCGGCTCCGACAGGTGGATCTGCATGACGGTGATGAGCGACGCGTCGAGGTAGTCGGGCTCGGGCTCCTTTGTATAGAGCACCTCGACCGGGTAGGTGCGTCCCGGGATGGTGAAGATGGGGCAGCCGAGAAAGTAGGTGCTGAACTTTTCCGCGTCGAGCGTGGCCGAGGTGACGATCAGCTTAAAGTCCGGGCGCCGCTTGAGCGCCTTTTTGAGCAGGCCGAAGAGGACGTCGGTGGCGATGGTGCGCTCGTGGGCCTCGTCGAGGATGATGACCGAGTACTGCGACACGTCCGGGTCGATGAGGCACTCGCGCTGCAGCATGCCGTCGGTCATGTACTTGATCCGCGTCTCGGGGCTGGTGCAGTCCTCGAAGCGGATCGTGTAGCCCACCTCCTGGCCGACGCGGCAGCCCACCTCCTCGGCCACGCGCTTGGCCACGCTGACGGCGGCGACGCGGCGCGGCTGGGTGCAGCCGATCTTGCCGCGGTCGGCGAAGCCCTCCTCGGCCAGGTACTGGGTCATCTGCGTCGTCTTGCCCGAGCCCGTGTCGCCGACGACGACCAGCACCTGATTCTCGCGGATGGCCTGCACCAGCTGCTGCCGCAGCTTGTAGATGGGCAGGCTCTGTCGCTGCTCCTGCATGCTCAGGCTCGTGATCCGGCCAAACGTCGTCGCCTTGTTGAACGTCTCCTTCTTCCACGCCGGCTGGTCCTGCGCCTTTTGGCCCAGCAGGTTGCCCCGCATGTCCTGCGCAAACACCCGGTCGCCCTGCTGCGCCATCGGATCCTGCCAGCCGGAGCTCATGTCGCGCACCTCGCCGTCGGCCTGGTCGTTGATCTCCTGCTGGCGCAGCTCCCGCCGCTCCTTGGCCAGCGACGCGCCCGCCAGCGCCGCCCGGTTGAGCGTGCCGTCGGGCGCCTTGACAATCTTGACCGGCGACAGCTCCAGCGACAGGCTCGTCTGGCCCGCCAGGAACGGCGCCTCCTTTTCGTTGACCTCGATGTCGATGTCCTCGTCGTCGTCGGCCGGGATGCCGCCGCCGCCGCCGCCGCCGCCGCGCACGGTCGGCGTCCGCAGCTCCTCCTCCATCAGCTCCGGGTAGTCGCTCGCCTTGGCGGCGCCGCTGGCGATCAGCTGCTTGAGCTCCCAGCGCTCCGGGCTCGTCAGCCGCTTGGCGCTGTTGCCGCCCGGCCTGTCGTCCTCGAACGCGCCGCCGTCGGGGC